GGACCTGGTGGCTTAAAACTCACGCTGGGTGCGTGTGCGTGCATGCCCAAGATCCCAAGAGGAGAATGAAGGAGAAGGGATTGCGGTGTGACCATCCCCCCTGGGGGGTGATTTCTCACTTTCTGTCTCTATGTCTCTCTCTGTCTGGCTAGCGAGTGCATGTGCCCTATAATGAAAAAATCTCTCTCTCAAAGAAAAAAAAGAATATAAATATTAATAAGTGCTGGCAGGGATGTGGTAAACAGGGAACTCTCCTACGCTATTGGTGGGAATGTAAACTGGTTCAGCCACTGTGGACAACAATATGGAGGTTCCTCAAAGATCTACAAATAGAATTACTATTTGATGCAGCAATCCCACTTCTAGGTATCTACCCAAAGGACAGGAGAACACTGTTAGAAAAGTGCTTGTACATCAATGTTTATTGCAGCATTATTCATGATCACCAAGACATGGAACCAACCCAAATGTCCACAAACAGATGTATGGATAGAAAAAGTGTTGCACATATATTCTATGAAATACTACTAGCCATAAAATGCAACAAGTCCCTGGCATTTGATAGAAAGTGGTCGGATATGGAGGATCTATTGCTGAGTGAAGCAAGCCAAGATTTGAAAGAAAGATATTGTATGTATGCACTTACTATGTACTGACTCTCTGAACTCTATGGTAGAGATAGAAATATGGAGGGCATAAAAGCAGTGAAAATAGTTAATGATGATAAGAGAGTGTGGAATGGAGCGGGAGAAGAGAAGAGCATAAAGATAACAGGAGAACAAATAGAGAGGCATGAAACTAGTGGGACACAGATATGGTTTATTACTGGTAATATGTATTGTTTTCTCAACTGGATTGGTCTGAGAAGTATTTCATGTTGGGTCAAGTCTTTTTATAAGCAAAATGATAAATAGTAAATGACTGTTTAAAAAATAGTTGGAATAATAATGATAATAATTGGGGAAAAAATGAAAAGCTATTGGATGATGAAGATGGGGATTTTAATGTACCTGTATTGACTGATATACATGATATTTCTTCTGGTAAAAGAAATGTAATACACTGAAAAATTATCTGTAATTCAATGTAATATAAACAAGAGTATGATAATAAATAAATAAATAAAAACTTGTACCAACCTTAATAAAACAATTGAAAGAATATATGAATTATGATATATATATTCTATATATTTAATAGTACATTATTCAGTCACTTAAAATTAATATAATCACTAAAAATGATAAAGGGAGATGTGAGAATATTAAGTACTATATACACTCAGAAACATTGGAAAGTAACAAAATACCCATAAGTGTTTGCTGTGTTAAGTTAGAATTTGATAGACATTTACAAATCATTTATAAATTATTTATATTGAGGATAAATCTTTTTTTTCTTTAAATTGCTTACCTTGTGCACCCTAGTTGGCTTCTCTTCGGGGGTAATAAATTCTGGAATTTGTGTATCTGGTTCTAGAAGATGAAGATCAGGTGGCAGAGCAATTATATAATGACAGATTTTAGTCACACCCTTGCACTAGAAAAGAAGAAAACAAAAAGATGCATGGCATTTATATCAAGTTGTTTACTCAATGCTAATATGTAATTGCAATTATTTTCATTTTTTAATATATGACTATATAAGGGGAAGAGTCACAAGTAGGATAAAACATATATTTGTTTGTCAAAAAAGCCAAAAGTTTTTGAGTGAGTCAAGTATGTAGTATCCAAGTGTAAAACTGGGCTTAAACTCTTTGGTCCTCTCAGTCATGAAGCAGGCAACATGCAGATGTGTGAGAAGTGAAATTACATGTTATGTGTACATTTTTTCTTTTCCTTTTTTTTTTTTTTTTTAGTTTGCTACAGGGCATGTGGACTCTCTAGAGAGAGCCAGAAAGAGACAGAGGGAATGTGAGAAAGCACTCCCTCAGAAGGACAGCCTTGCAGTAATCCCTTCTCCTCCATTCTACTCTTGTAATTTTGGGCATACACACACATGTACGTGGCATATTTTTCAAGCCACCAAATCCAGGATTTGAACCGCACAGCCAGCCATGTGAGATCCAGTTTCATTACTGTTGCACTACCCGGCTGGCCCAAAATTACATTTTAAACGTGCATTTATTTTGGTATATGTATGTCTTTTTTTATGGAAATTTTAGAAAAGATTGATAAGCCTAAGAAGAAAATATCCATCTTCCAAAACACCAGCCATAGGACAACAGGGTCAGTGTTAAATTGATTTAAAATGATGTAATCTAAAAATATCTAATTACTATGGCTTATTTTGAAATGGACTTTTGGCAGAATTTTTATATATCTCTGTATCTATGACTTCAGAGACCATACTGTCATTTCTTTCAAATACAGCAAATACCCTGAAGGGAAATTGAACTGCATAAATTTTCACATTTTGATATAATTCATAAAATTTGATTTTTAACTCTCAGTAAAAATTATGAAGGAATTAATACTTTAAACAAAAGGGAAGAATTTCAAATAATGATCTGATAACCCACTTTCTTAACTATCAGTAAATCTTAGCATGGCAACTGGAACTTGTATATAACTCTTTGGATCCTTATTACTTAGCACAATTTTCAACAAATATTTACTGTACGATGGCATAAAAACAGTTTTCAAACTATTTCAATGCATACATAGAAAGATTAAGTCTAATGTTGGCTTTAGGTAAAGGGATTGTTAGAAAACTATGATTTTTATCATTAAGAAGTAGACTAGTTTACAGTTTTAATGACTTGCAAAAAAACAATGCTAAGGGGCTAGCAGGTGGCATGGTAGCTAAATTGTTGGACTCCCACATGGCTGACTGTAGTTTGAGTCCCAGATCCAGCAGCTTGAAAATCATTCCAGGTTCCAGGTGCATGTGTGCATATAGTTAAAATCTCTAGAAGAGAATATAGAAGGGATTGCAGTGTGACCATCCTTCTTGGGCAGTGAATTCTCACTTTGCTTCTTTCTCTCTGTCTCTCTCTGGCATGTGCCTTATAGCAAAAACAAAACAAAACAAAACAAAACAAAAAAAACAAAAAAAAAACCAAAAAACAGACAAAAGAAAGCTATAACTAAAATGCATATTAATGCAGGTACCAAGTGTATATATTATACCTAGTAAGTATTCCAATTTGATATGACATTTGAAGTATAAAGTTATAAATATGCTGCATTTTACACATACATGAATGGGTAAATTTTTTAAAAGGAAAACCAAAATATATAGTTTGGAGATTATCATAAACCAAAATATTTAGTTTGGAGATCATCTTAAATAACATCAAGTCCAACTCCCTTCATTTTCAGATGGGAAAACTGAGGCTCATTCAATCTAAGATGTGGAACAAAGATTATATTATGTTCTTTCTATCTCCATTGATTAAACCTAGTGCCTGGAACCATAGTGGATACTCATTAAACATTTGCTGAATAAATGAAGTTCTTTCCCAGAAAAAACTTCATTCTTTTTTTTTTTTTAGAGGTTTCTTTTGCTATAGAGCGCATGCATTCGCCAGAAAGAGAGAGACAGAGAGACAAAAACCCAGAAAGCGAGAAATCACCCCACGGGGGAATGACTACGTTGCAATCCCTTCTACTCCATTCTCCTCTCGGGATCTTGGGCACACACGCACATGCACCCGGCATGAGTTTAAGCCACCAGGTCCAGGACTTGAACCGTGACTTGAGCCATTACGCCAACTGCTGGTCCCAAAAAACTTTATTCTTAACTATACAGTTTATTCATTATTTCACCAGTCTACAATTCTCATTCCTG